TTATGTATTTATTAAAAACTATATATAATAAATTAAATAAATTGTATATTTAATAAATAATAAAATAAATAAAAATAAGTTATATAATTTGGTGCATTAGCATTATAACAGGACCGGAAAATCTTTATTATAGGTCCCCGCAGTTAGTACAATGATTTCAAAACGCGAGAACTTTTTCTTGAGTAGATCTTGCCAAAAAAAGTCAGGGTTTTTGCCGAAACTTACTAAAAAAAAAATTTCTATGTTACATTTTTATTATTACTCGAGTTACTCAAGGTATTATTTATAAAGATTCTGTAAATACAACATATTATTAAATAGGAAAAACAAGAAACAAACTTATAATGATGTTAAAAATAAACTTCATCCTTCCTACTACCATATTTTATTTAACTATTAAGTACAATATAATATATTTTTAAAATAAAACCTTTCAAAATTGTTTAAAATTGCTTAATTCAGAAGTAAACTATTGTAACTGATATTGATTTGGTAAACTATCTAAATATGAAGCTGATAAAATATGAAGCTGATGTTGATTTGGTAAAACTATCTAAATATAAACTATTCTTTAAGAAGCGCTTGTACAATATGACCGACTCTCATATTTTTTAAATCTGTATATGTTTGTCCAGTACCAACAAATAAAATAGGCTGTCCAGTTGTATAAGCCATTGACAATGCCGCACCGACCTAATCAAAGTATATTAGAGATTAATTGCTGAACCTTATCATGTTTACATAAAGTTTACATAATATTATTTAACCAACCTTATCATCAATTGTGTCGAATTTAGTTAATATAATTCCATCAATATGTCTTGGGTTTTGTAATCCAGAAAAATCTTTCAAAGCCTGATTAAATTTCGTAAGTTGATCAACTGCTTCATTACCAACTAGTGCTTCACCAACGAATATTATTTTGTCTGGGTTATTTACTGTTACTAACTTAAATTATAACAAAAGTTAATAAAATACCGAACAAATAATAATCCTTTTACCGGTATGTAAATTAAATAATACCTTAGCCAGAGCACGCATTAGAGGTTCATTGTCCTGCATACGACCGGCAGTATCAATCAATACAACATCGAACCCGTTTGCCTTAGCTATAGGTGAAAGAAAATTGAAAATCAAATTCAAAAATAAAAGACCAATGTTTGCATATACCGGTAGTACTTACCGAAATTAATGGCATCTTTGGCGATTCCTGCAGCATCTTTTCCATAACCTCTTTCATACAATTCAACAACCGAATTTTGTCCTAAAGCATTCAAATTTCTAACATGTACTTTCAATTGTTCCACAGCACCAGATCTGAAAGTATCGCAGCCAGCAATTAGGACTTTGAACCCATTTTGCAATAACCAGAAGCAAGTCTTTGATAGATTTGTCGATTTACCTGTTAAAAATTTATATAAATCAAAAATTAATAATTAATTTTGCAAAATAATATAATGCAATGCAATACATACCAACACCATTCACACCAATAAAGCAAATAGTGTATGGACGTGATTCAGATTTTGCCTGCAAAATATCACGCAACAAATCCACAGAAGTCTTTGGAGTCAAGATACGTCTCAATGCAGATTCCATTGATTGTTTTACAATTGAACGAATTGCTTTAAAACATTGAAAAAAAAAATAAATTATCATTAATTTTCTGATATGAAAAGTTATAATTTTTATAATAATATCAGATAAGCATACATTTGAAATTTCCAATTTTTTGACCCACAAGAGTTCTTGAGACAGAATCACATAAATGTGTTGCGATATCAGCCGCAACATTCTTTTTAATTAAATGTTCCTTCATGTTTGCCAACACAAGTGTGAGATCTTCTTCAGTGATCTCCTTTTGACCAGTGATGTTTTTGAAAAATGAAAATAATCTCGATTCTTTAGTACTATTATCATCTTGCACAATTCCATTTGTCGCCTCATATTCATCATCGTCGTAATCTTCTTCATCATCATCTTGCTTTAAATCAGCAACTTCATAATGACCATCTTGGGAGCGATGTCCTAAATTATTTTCATCAACAAGATTCTGATGTATAGCTGTTGATGACATATCAATATTTTCACCTTGACCGCTATAGTCAAGATTTTCCATTTCTTCTTTAGTCACTTTATCGTCCCATACACGCATAACTTTCTTTTTTGGTTTCTTATCCCTAAATAAATAAATCAAAAAAAAAAAAAGTCAGAAAGGGTATTTAAAGACAGGTTAAATTTATCTGATTACACGTACTCTGAGAAATCACCATTTGGAGGCGCATGGACTTGTCTAGTACTTCCCAATTTCTTATTTCGACCGCCGCGATCTCGATTAGATTTGCCTCCACGAATCGCCTCAATGTTACGTGCAATTTCTTCCTCACTGATTGTTGGATTAATTGGTGGCTTCGATATGTCACTCGCACCTAATTAAAAATGAATTAGAAAATTATAAAAAATTTATGAAAATAATCCTTTTAAATATTAATAATATAATTACTAAGTTTTTTGTTTCCTTCAACTGTGTCTTTAAATTTTTTTGTTTCTTCGAATTTGCGTGGTTTTGATCTTTTACTTTGCTCCTTTAAAGAATTTCAAGATAATTTTACTGTGATGAAATTATGCAATAAAAGCAGCATTGTGAACAAGTTCATTTATTTGTTGATTTAATGTGAATAAAAAACCTTAGCATCTTTTTCTTCAACTCTACTTAGAATCGAGTCAAAATCATCATCGAAAGCGTATTTATGAAGTTTGGTTGTATCTCGAATAAATTCTATGAATTTATCGCAAAAGAATTTTTTTATGGTCGCCAAAAGTTCTTCTATGTACGCAAGCTGAAGAATTTTCTGATATGCTACCTATTATTGAACGAGACATAAAAATTAGAAAGTTGTCACAATTATGTTATAGGCTATTAAATTCTGCTTTGAAGGCTACGGTAAGCTCACAATTCATTGCCAAAGCAAAATGAATCTGAGGTTAAACAGACTAATAGTAAGACTCACTTTTATATTTGACATTTACCACAAAAATTAGATCCAGTTCATTAGCGAAAGTCCATTTTATGTTGTAAGACTCTTTAACATAATTGTTAGCGCCAGCTCTTTCTTCGATCAGCACTTCTTTAATCAAGGCGTCTAACGGAAAATTTGTAACACGAGCGAAGGTTTTTGACCAAAGGACGATGCCGCCCTTAGTCAGAATTGTGAAAAAGTCAAGCATGTTTAGTTTCTTGCACTTTTTTTTTGGAATCTGATAATTTTTAGTTGCATAACGGGTTAAACTTTGATTGGTCAATGAAAGAAACACAATTGTTCAGAATACTTTTTTTGGCACGTTTGAAATGTGCCAGGTTATGCAAGTTGTCGATCATAGTCAAATTATCTTATAGAATTTAAACTTTTTCAAAAATTTGAACGAAGATATCTTGGTAGTCACTTAGCCAAATTCAATGGAATTTTTTATTTTGATTCAACAATTCTGTAGAATCAAAATAAAAAAAAGTTCATTGAATTTGGTTAGGTTGTTGCTAAAATATCTTTGTTCAAAGTTTTAAAAACATTAAAATACAGTAGTAGCTGCCAGTGTTGGCAATTGGACCAATTGGACATAATAAAATTTTTATTGGATTTTATTATTCCCAATTCCAATTAGTCAGATGTTCAATTCCAATAAAATTTTATTGATCATTACCCAATGTAGCTGCTATAAAATTTTTGTAAAACTTTGAGCGAGGCAACCACCTAGCCAAATTTAATAAAAAATTTTTAAAAGGTTTATTAAATTTGGTTAGATAGTTATTATTAAAAGTGATATTTTTGGTTTTCATACGTATCAGTATTAAAGTTTTTATTTTAACTCGCCAACCCGGCTTTTAAATTTTAAATTTAAAAAATTTTATTATTTACAATAGTGTTTGGATCCGTGGATATCCGACTATTTTTTACCTCAATCTGCAACTATCCGATAAAATCTGTTGAATCCGGTGAATCTATTAATTCTTTTTTTTTTTTTGAAATGATGTCTACAAAAAAAAATATGCAAGTCACTATAAAATGAATAATAGTTGTTGTGAAGTCAGACTCAAAACCAATTTATATAAAATTACTAATAAAATTCTTTTATAGTGGATTTTTAACTAATAGAATCGATTATAACGAGTGACACATATTTATTTTGACGAAACATTAAATATTTATACAAAGAATTCTTATTCTTATTCTTTATTATTTAATAAATTGCTAATTCAGTTACTTTTAAATTACATAAGTTGTCTAATTTTCCCGCACTAAAAGCTCGTTTTGTTTCTTCTGTTTCGTTGTCATAATTTATTCGTACGCAAGAGCTTTACAGGATAATAATAATGAAGTAGAAATTTAATCATTCACCTGAAAAAACCTTTATTATTTTTAAATAATTAACATTACGTTCCTGTTTTTATCAAAATGCTTTATTACCGTTACAAATAAGCAATCACTTTAGCATCACATAACTCTGCGGATGATCCAATGGATACGTATCCGAAAAAAATATCCATTCTGAATTTTTCCTTGTAAGTATTTTGCGTGATATCTGGAAGATGAAAGCCCGTATCTTCGGATCTCTTTTTACGGACGATAGAAAGTTGCTCAAACATTTATAATAAGTAATTTTCGGAAAAAGAATATTGTACACGTCTTGAAAAATATTTTCAATATTAGTTAATACCTTTAATTTCAAATAAAAATTATGTACCATCCTGACCAATGGTCAGGAACTCGCCGATCACTTTGCCAAAAAAAATTTTTAAAAATTCTCGATCATATTCAAGAGTAAACTGACTATAAGTGCGAAATCGCACTGAGGCAAGCTTTATTAATACGATAAAAAATAAAAAATAAAAAGAATGTATGAATTAACGTAAAGGAGATGATACGGTTGAACTAGTTTCTAAATTTCTCTTCGATCTACGTAGAGGTGTACTACACATTAACAATTAGAATATTCCGCAGTATCAAAAAAGTCTTTACAAATTCAGTCAGAACAGAAGTGTCATTGGAATAACGAATCGGAATTGTTGATTCATATAACTTATAATAACGGTGAACTTCATGCTTGTCTCTGATAAGAACATTCAGAGAAATCTTTAGTCCTACAACCTGCAATCCAACAATTCCGAATTGGTTCCGGGAATTTTCGATGAGAGTAATGGGTTGAGGTTATTATTGTATTGAGCTTTTTTTGGGATTGGCCAGACGTTGGCCTTTGACCATTGATTGGGAATATGTCCTTTTCTTGCTTACTTTTAAGTACCCAATACATTCCATCATTTGCTTCGCGCCAAAGTTTAACCCTATCATCCTTCTCTTTTTTAGCAGTACAATCAATTTCGAACATTCCACATACATAAGTTCATAAGTTTTGCTATGTTCTTTTGTAATAAACATAACATAAAGGAGAACGAGAGTAAAGGAGAATGAGAGTAAAGGAGAACAAGAGTAAAGGAGAATGAGAGTAAAGGAGAATGAGAGTAAAGGAGAACGAGAGTAAAGGAGAACGAGAGTAAAGGAGAACGAGAGTAAAGGAGAACGAGAGTAAAGGAGAATGAGAGTAAAGGAGAACGAGAGTAAAGGAGAACGAGAGTAAAGGTGACGAAAGTAAAGGTGGATGAGAGTAAAGGTGGACGAGAGTAAAGGTGGACGAGAGTAAAGGTGGATGAGAGTAAAGGTGAACTGGTCTGGTCGTCTTCCCGTCCGACCTTCTCCTTTTCTATCTGCGCTTGCAACGCTTTGGTGTTCAAAGTATAGATTGTAATTTTCTCAATGGCAGTCATGATGAAATCAGATACAGGGTGGCTTCATATAAACTTAACGTATTAGCGAAAGCGATTATAAAAACCTAAAAATAGCCATTAAAAACATGTGGAAATATGTTGGTAATCTTTATGCCAAAACTCTTATGATCTAATAATCGGATTTGCATAATTTTGGTACCATTCGAATTGTTTTGACAAGCTGATTCTAATGGTACCAAAATTACGTAGATCTGAGTATTAGATCATGAGAATTTTGGCTATAAAAATTGCTCCGAGGGGTGCTTTATTTCGGAAGTATACGGCATGTGGTAATAAAAACTAGAGGAATTTACAAATAAGAGACCGGAAAGTGACAAATACGGGCCCAAATTAAAAATAAGTACATATAAGGGTCAAATTTTTAAAAAATATTACATATAAAGGCCTATAACGATAGCAAAATCGCGATTATAGGATTATCAATTGTTTTATTATAGATATTTAGAGTTATCTATATAATGATTATTAGTTAAAAGGATAAATAAAGTACTAGTTAAAATCATTTTCGCTTAAATATTGCATAAAGATAGCGTTAAACTAGCACAATTATTTATAAGGCGAAGCTTCAACAGAGTACAGGAGTAGCTCTCTAAAGCTGAACGAACATAGTAAATTCACAATGTTTTATAGTGATTTGTTATAACAATAGCAATTTCATACAAAGAAAATTAAATTTATTAAATTTAAAAATTTTCTTTTCTCATTTATAATTACTAATTTACAATCAAGCCACAGGCGTGAATAGCGTTGCGGTTATTTTGGGTCCTTATATGTAATATTTTTTAAAAAATTAGGCTCTTATATATAATTATTTTTAATTTGGACCCGTATTTGTAATTATTTTCACTTTCTGGGCCCTTATTTATAAATTCTCTTAAAAACTACTCTATAAAATTTTACTATTACATGCTGTAGATCCTCTTGATTACCAATCAGATTTGCTTATGTGGATCATGTGTATTAAGTATTAATAAATTCTTTAAAACTTCAGTAAACTTTTTTTTATTTCAATTCTATAGCTTTGTAAAATTAAAATAAAAAAAGTTCATTGGATTTGGTTTAGTGGTTATTGATAAATTATTGTCAAAAATTTTTTTTAAAAAAACAAAATATTAAATCAAGTAAATTTTTTTTTCTAAACTTTAAGCAAAGGTTTTTTAACAACCAACTATTCAACTTAAATAAATTTTTTCTTTTATTTTGATTCTGTGAGTTCATAGTATTACAAGTGGGATAGCCTTCTTAATTTACCACCTGCAACATAGTATACAGTAACAGGGATCTCTAAAACAACAAGGCGAAATATAAAATAATGTGAAAGTAGAATGTTTTCTTATTAGGGCAGTTCAGTATATTTATTAGAAGCATAGAGACATAGTTTACTTTTGGACAAAAATATATTTATTTATTTATAATACAATATCTAGATACAAGGCTATTTATAGGTATTTATTCCTATAGAATCCTAATATTTTAGAATACAGTATTGTATAGAATGAATTCTAAAGTTAAAAAAAGGGTTTATATAGCTTTTACAATATATATCAAAAGAATATAAAACAATAAAAAACTATAAAAAATAATAAGAAATAATAAAAAACATTAAAAAACATTAAGAAATAATAAGAAATATTAAGAAACATAAAGTAATATTAAGAAAGATTAAGAAACATTAATAAACATTAAAAAATATTAAATGAAGACTATAAACTCTTTTCAATAATCACTAAACCCAAATTTTCCCACTAATAGAAAACCAAATTTTTTGTTGGAGAGTCATAATTTATGTTGCAGTTTGTCTAGAGATTAATGTTATTTGCTTTTTGGGACTCCTCTAAAGAGACATTTGGCATACAAGCCAAGAGTGTTACTATACAAGATAACTGGCAAGAGGTATCCTTGTATATAAAATCTTGATAGAGTGTAGACAAAAAGCTCAACTCTTTCAACAAAGTTTCTAGGTTGTTACTTCAAAGAAGAACATAGAGAAAACAACAAAACTTTTTCTTTTCTAAAGCCGCACTCTTTCTTTTTGGGTTTGGTGACTCTTCTTTTTCTTTTTCTTATCTTTCTGTCGGTCTTCCAAAATTTTTTACAAAAAGTAAGGATTTGGCTTACTCTCTTCAAAAGATCAGCATTGTTTGCTTTTCAAATTTGGATAGACTTAGTAGAATGCAACCACATGATGTGTTTATTTACAAATATGATGCTACTTTAGAGAAGTCAGATCAGGGCTTCCGATTAAAGAGATATCTGAAAGCGGTTATAAGTCAGAAGAACTTTTAACATTAAGGCAAAGCTTTATACTAGAAATATACAATTGTTGCATTTGTTATATAATTTTTTTAGTCTTGCACAAGTTATAATAGTGTACTCTTGTTACAAAGAGATGTGCAATCCCTCTCAACTTTTTATCCTTGTTCTATAAAATTTTTTTTTATTTTTTTTAGTTTTTTCTTTTTTGGGTTTTTTTATTTTTTATTTTCTTCGCTCTTTCTCTTTTTTCTCTTTTGTTTATTTTCCTTTTTTAGTCATAGTTCGTTTTTATTTTTTATAGAATTTTTTTTTTAGATAATTTCAGTCATCTGTGATCTGGTAAGACAGAGTCACAATTTAGGCCTGAGCTAGGTTTTCACACCACAATATGGAACCGAGTAGTGCCAAACTTTTATCTTTATATTTCTATATATTTATGTTATTATAAATATTAATAAATAAGATTAGTCACTGGTTTAGGCTGCAAATAAAAAACTAGGTGTTTACTAGGCACTTTTAGTTAGTTCAAGTTTTTATTCTTAGCATTAGATTTATACAATAAAATTTTTTCTGATTTTGTAAGAAATTTTGATTAAAGATAAGAGCAAGGTCTCACCATTAACATTAAAAAAAAAGATTAGCTATGGCCAGACTCATCAACAATTTAAAAAAAAAAAAAAATTATTAAAAAATATTAAAAAACATTAAAAATATATAGTAAATCTATTTTTTGATTATCTAGCTAACCAATAGTCCGTTCATCATGTATTGTAGCTCGTTTTAATCGTTATAATTTTCTGGATCTAATAAAAATAAAATCTCTAACATGTTTTATAATATTAATATGTTCTATAATATTTTTATTGTCTTTAAAAACAAACTCTATGAGTTAATAGTTTATCCTAATTGTCCAATAGAATTATCAAATTTTTGCATATTGTGTCGATCATAATTAATTTAGAATAAGGCATATGCTATATAGTGTGATTTTTGGTTCTAAAAATTTTTCTTTTTCTTTTTTTCTTTTTGTTAATATCAATAATATTATTAATATTAACTGTAATAATATTAACAACAATAACAATAATAATAATAATAATTATAAAAATACCTTGTATTTGTTTTTTTGTTTTTTTTTTGGTATTAAGGTGACCTCTTTGGTCTGGAGACTTTTTATTAGAGTATAGATGAAGTTTTATAATATAATTACAACGATAGTATATCAAGCCACACGTGCACCTTTTGAGTGCCTATTTAAGTAGTCCACCCGAAGGTTTTACACTATCTGCTATACCTGCACCTCAACTAGGGGAGTATTCATTTAAACTATCTGGTTCTAACTACTTCTATCTGCTCTCTAACCCGATGGGTTTCCTCACTATAAACTATGATAGATTTTGGTATTACCCAAACTAGATTTCGCATCCTACTTTAGGACACTTGACTATCCTCGAGGTAAACTTAATATAGCGATACATGTCCCACACATGTATTCACATGCTTGTTCCTATAACTTCTTTCTAATTAGTACATATTAATCTGCCATTTAGTATTTGTATCTCACACCACCTTTTGGAGTGCTGCCATTTTATGGACATTTCTTAAGTACCAACCTTTCTAACTAGGCGCCCATTATATACTCCTTGCCCTTGTTTTGGTTTCTAGCAACCCCAGTATCCCACATTTAGACCGTCTTCTCACTCCCTTACTTCTAGCCAGCAACTTGGAAAGGTCGGTCTGCCTATGCTTTAGGTGCCTGAAGGACGCCCTCCTCTTGGTTTATACTTTCAGAGCGTATGCTCTTTTCCTCTAGCGCGATAACCCGGCAGTTCAGTTGGTGTGTCTTCCCATAGGACCTGGTCACTTGGTTTTTCAATCTCGGGCCCTAGTTCGAATTTAGCTCTCTTGTGATACTATCAAAAATCACTATTATATCCAGATTCGGGACTTCCCAAATGGGTTTTCGGTTATGCCAGTTCCTCGGATTTATTGCACTGAAGCTCCTATTACAAAATGGTGTGACTGAAGTTACAAATTAATTTTAGATCCAACTGATAAGCATAGCCGTTAACCAAATACAAAAAACACAGGCCTATTTTTCAAATATCGTTGCCAGTAGGATTTGAACTCTAGATTTGCCACTTGAAAAGAGTAACGACTAGACCACTATACTAAGTCGCCACACCTCTTGTGTTGAAAACTTGTATAAATAGTAGTTTGGTAGATTTAGATAAAAATTTTGATTTGTAATTTAATTTTTTTTCTCTCTTTTGTATTTATATATTATATTATTGCTTTTTCTCTTTTTTTTCAAATAAAATAAATATATAAAATAATAAAAAAAAAAAATAATAATAATAATAATAAAAAATTAATCATTCAAATACTTTAACTAAGAGCTATACTGAACATGGTACTTAGCAGGTAGCTCTCTTAACTAGTTTCAAATCTGGGTTTGCATAATGACAGCTCTCCACTATAACCATTAATTTATAATTTAAATAATTCTAAAAATTTTTTTTTTTTTTTTTTTTTTTTTTTTTTTTTTTTTTTAATTCTTTGACAGTCTTGCCAGTGCTCAATTTATTTAAGACT